AGAAGTGATATGCCATATTGCCTAATGGTCATTCATCCAAGGCATAGACAATATTATAAGAAATATTAACAAAATAATATGGTTGGTCAAGGCATCTCTCTAGACTAAGAGATGGACTCTGCTATTAATAGAAACACTGGATTTATCATATGAAGAAAACATTTCTAATAATATAAATCATTCCTTAATGAGTTGCATTTTAAGTGTTAACAGATACCTTGAAAAATCAATGCTGTGTGAGCCTCAAACCAAACAAGGCTATAGTAACCAAAGAAGCATAGTATTGGCACAGAAATAGAGACATAGACCAATGGAACAGAGCAGAAAACTCAGATATAAAACCACCCACATATAGCCAACTGATCTTTGACAAAGCAGACAATATACACTGGAGAAAAGAAGCCCTTTTCAAGGAATGGTGCTGGGAAAATTGGGTAGCCACATGTAGAAGAATGAAATAGAACTTCTGTCTCTTATTCATAAAAATTAATTCAAGATGGATAAAGGACTTAAATGTAAAGCATGAAACCATAAGAATTCTAGAGGAAAATGTAAGAAAAAACTCCTTTAGATATCGGCCTAGGCAAAGAATTTATGTAAATGATCCCAAAGGCAATCACAGCAACAACAAAAGTAAATAAACAGGAGTTGATTAAATTAAAAAAGCTTCTGCACAGCCAAGGAAATAATCAACAGAGCAAATAGACCAACCTATAGAATGAGAGGAAATATTCACAAGCTGTACATCTGACAAAGGGCTAATAACCAGAATCTGCAAAGAACTCAAGCAAATCAGCAATAAAAAATTGAATGATCCCACCAAAAAGTGGGCAAAAGACATGATCAGAAGCTTTTCAAAAGAAGATAGACAAATGGGCAATAAACATGAAAAATGCTCAATGTCAATTATCAGGGAAATACAAATTAAAACCACAATGAGATATCACCTTACTCCTTTAAAATGGCTTTTATTAAAAAGTCCAAAAAGAATAGATGCTAGCTGCTAGCATGGATGCAGAGAAAAAGGAACGCTTCTACACTGCAATCAGTACAAGCTGTATGGAAAACAGTATGGAAATACCTCTAAGAACTAAAAGTCAACCTATGATTTAATCCAGCAATACCACTACTGGTATTTACCCAAAGGAAAAGAAATCATTTTATCAAAAAGACACCTACACTCGAATGTTTATTGCAGCACAGTTCACAAATGCAAAGATGTGGAATCAACCCCCAAGTGCCCATCAGTTCATGAGTGAATTAACAAAATGTGGTATAAGTATACCATGGAATACCACTCAGCCATGGAGAAGGGTGACTTAATGCCTTTTGCAACAATTTGGATGGAACTAGAGACCATTCTCTTAAGTGAAGTATCTCAAGAATGGAAAAACAAACACCACATGTACTCACTATTAAATTGGAACTAACTAATGAGCACACACACATGTGTATAGAAGGAAGTAAAGCTCAACAGAGATTGAGCAAGGGATAGGGGGGAAACGGGGATGGAGGATAGCCTACCTAATGGGTACAATGACCACTAACTGGGTGACAGGCACACTTATAAGCATGATTCAAGCATTATGAAAGCGATCCATGTAACCAAAAATAGTTGTACCCCTGTAATACTTTAAAATTTTAAAAAATTATAAGTTAAAACATTAAAAAAATCTTAAAAAGTTGAAAGATTGCAAGCCACTTATATTTGAAGATTTAATAGTATTAAAATAAGAAATACCAAAAAAGAGTTATAAAAAATTTTGAATTTTGTCAAATGCTTTTTCTGCATGTGTTATGATCATAAAATGGTTTTTTCTTGTGTTTATTCGTATGGTGAATTATTGCTTTTTAATGTGAAAGCAACCTTACATGATAGCTATGATGTATTATTTTTGTATATTATTGGATTCAATTTGCTGAAATTTTGTTTAGAATGTTTACATTCGTGTTCACAAGGATATTGGTCTGTGATTCCCTTTTCTTCAATGTCTTTGTTTGGTTTAGTTATCAAGGTAATGCTGGCCTGGTAGAATAGATTAGGAAGCCTTTGCTCTTTTTCAATCTTCCATAAGAGTTTGTGGAACATTGTTTGTGGAACATTATTATTAATTAGTTTAACGTAGAATTCACCAGTGATGCCAACTGGGTCTGGAGTTTTCTTAATTTAAAATTCAGTTTCTTTAATGAACATAGGGCTAGTAAGGTTATCTATTTCTTCTTGAGTTGGTTTTGATAGTTTTTGTCTTTTGAGGAAATTGTTTTTTTTTTTATTTCGGCATATTATGGGAGTACAGATTTTAAGGTTTCAATAAATGCCCATTTCCTCCCCTCCCCCCACAAGTCTGAGTCTCCATCATGACCATCCCCCAGATGGTGCACATCTCACTCATTATGTATGTATATACCTGCCCCCCTCCCACCTGCCCAATACCCTATTACTGTAGTACCTATGTGACCACTTAGGTGCTGTTCAGTTAATACCAATTTGCTGGTGAGTATATGTGGTGCTTGTTTTTCTATTCTTGGGAAACTTCACTTAATAGTATGGGTTCCAGCTCTAACCAGGAAAATATAAGATGTGCTATGTCACCATTGTTTCTTAGAGCTGAATAGTACTCCATGGTATACATATACCACATTATATTAATCCATTCTTGGATTGATGGACACTTGGGCTGTTTCCACAGCCTTGCAATTATGAATTGTGCTGCTATAAACATTCGATGCAGGTGTCTTTTTTGTAGAGTGTCATTGGATCTTTTGGGTAGATGCCCAGCAATGGGATTGCTGGATCAAATGGTAGAATCACTTGTATCACTTTAAGATATCTCCATATTGCTTTCCACAGAGGTTGAACTAGTTTGCAGTCCCACCAGCAGTGTAGGAGTGTTCCTCTCTCTCCGCAACCACGCCAGCATTTATTGTTTGGAGATTTTTTGATAAAGGCCATTCTCACTGGGGTTAAGTGATATCTCATTGTGTGAGGAAATTGTTTATCTTGTCTAAGCTGTTGAATTTATTGTCATAAAATTGTTCATAAAATCTATCATGAATATCTGTAGATTCTATGGAGATATCACCCAATTGTCTCATTTCTGATATTGGTAATTTATGTTTTCTATTTTTTTTCCTGATTATTATGGCTTTTTCATTCTTACTGATGCTCTCAGAGAACAATTTTTTGGTTCATTAATTTCTCCTATTTTGCTGGTTTTTATTCTGTTGATTTCTGATCTGATCTTTATTATTCCTTTATTCTTACCGTGGGTTTTATTCGCTCTTTTGCTAGTATTCTAAGGTGAAAAATGACATAATTGGCCTTCTTTTCTAATATAGGCATTTAATACTATAAACCAACTCCTACAAACTCTTTAACAGCATATCACAAAGTTTGATACGTTATGTTTGGATTTTCCTTCAGCTGAAAGTGTTTTCTAATTTCCCTTTTGATTTCTTTTTGACCAATGGTTCATTTAGAAGTATGTTACTTCTTAAATATTTGATGATTTTCCAGAGATCTTTCTAACATTGTCTTCTAATTTAATTTCGTTTTGGTCAGAGAATGTACTTTGTGTTGACTTGAATTCTTTCTAACGTTTTGAGCATTTTTAGGGCCCAGAATATAGTCCTTGGTAAATGTAATATATATCTTTAAAAATAATATGTGTTCTGCTCTTGTTAGTGTGGAGTGTGCCATAAATGTCAGTGTGATTAAATTGGTTGATAGTATTATTTAGATATTCTACATTCATAGTGATTGTCTACTTCTTTGATCAATGAGTAACAGAGGTGTATTGAAATCTAAAAAAAAAAAAAGTAGGTTTATTTCTCTTTACCTATAGTAATCATCTTGTCTTAAAACTCAAAATTAAGGAAATACAAAGTTAGTATGCTTATGCATTTTCTAAATATATTATTAAATCATTCCTTTTTTTTCCCTCAGCACTTAAGAGTGGCTTTTGCCTTGAAAAACATATGTATGATTTTCTCAGCTTCTGTTAGTCCTTTCAATAGTTCATAATAAATAATCAGAAGAAAAAGATACGTGCTTCAGCAAGACAGGATAATCAATTTTTAGTGTCTTTCTATGAAGTTTTTTGGTAGTGTATGAATGTATAAGTGCTTTTGCTACATTTTTGAAAAGAATAAGGTAGTATACAATCACCTTGTACCTTGCAACCATTCCTTTTATTTATTTATTTATTTATTTATTTATTTATTTTTATTTTAGCATATTATGGGAGTACAAGTGTTAAGGTTACTTATATTGCCCATGCCCCCTCCCCCCTCGAGTAAGAGCTTCATCCATCCCCCAAATGTTGCACATCTTACTCATTGTGGCAATCATTCCTTTTAAAGGAACAAGTTTCACCTTCTAAAACAATGGCTGAAAGAAAGGCTCTTTATAATTTGCATATTTAAATAAAATGCAGTTATTAAGTGCATTCACAAAAACATGTGTACGAACGTACACCCATAGTAAAAAAAAAATAAAAGATAGTTGACCGTCCGCTATCATGAATAATAATAATTAAAAACAATAGGTAACCATCTATAGAATTAAAGTCTCATATTTTGTGGAGCTTCATTGATTATCCACTCTGTCCATCATAACGTATAACAGTAAGTGCTTTCAAAGAAAAAAAAAAAAGATTGGATAAGGCCTTCAAGACATCAGTTTCATGCTGATGGATTTGTCAATAGTTCAGTTCCTCATGCCTTTGCCTTTCTGAGCTATGTTTATTAAGCAGTCTTGAGAGTTCTTGCATATTGACTAAAGGAACTGAAATTGATGGAAACAAGGTTATTCTTTAGTAAGCTGACAGTTTGGGTCCTTGATGTTCAACAATGGAAAAACTAGAAATGATGCCCTGCCAAAAGAAAGCATATTAAGGCAGTAAAGTGAGAAAGAAAGCTAGCTGCAAGGAACATCATTTACATTTCAGTGTCAGGAATTTACAATTGTGCAGCAGCTTTGAAAGCTAGTTTTGTGCGTGATGCAAGTAAAGTCAATTTTTACTGCAAAAAAGATTGGCAAAGACTAGACATCATTGCTTTTGACAGCTGTCCCATTACTTAGATGAAAAAAGTCCCAGGCCAGGTTTCTTAGGGGACAGATGTCCACTTCACCAATGGCTCTCTCCCCAAACAGGGCAACAACTGAATAAATAATGGAATGAATGTCAAGGTGACATCTGAACAACCACTCTTTGCTAATTTTGTATACTATATTTGCTAATGAATATATATGCACTTTTGAAGAACTTGTAGCCTCACATATTAGCCTAGGCTACTTAACCAATTTGGGGACTTAATTAATAATAGTTTTGTTCTCCTCTGTCCCTCATAGGAAGATAATTATCTGGCTTAACATATTTATAGTGTATTGGAAAGACTCTTTTTACCTTGACTTTTGCAAAACATGATAGTAAGTTTCATTTAAAAAAGCATTTTTATGATTTTTGACTTTCTCTTTGGAATCATGCCAAACCAAGTTAAAAATGTATTTCAAGGTGTGCAAACATCTCAAGTGGTTTTTAGGTTTTGTCTATTCAATGGTATTGGAACATCGGGGTGGGAGCAATATATTTGATAATTTTCAGCTCTATCAAAATGAAACTATTGTTCTTCATGATAACACTCAGTAATATTCTAAGGAGAATAGGTGTTACTAGTTACATAACACCATATAACACTTGAGGTAGACTTTCAAAATAAGACTAAAATAGCATTTCTAGACTCAAGGCCCTACTGTGGCTCTACTATTAAGTGACTTGATGTTATCCTCTGTATTTCCAGTGATTAGCATAATTCTGAGCTCAAATATTTTTTGGCTGAATGAATGAATGAATATTTTGCACAGTGATATCTTTTGAAAATAGCAATGGGGTTGAATCTGAACTTAAAGATCCTTAATTCCTGTTTCTAGTATTTCTACTCAGCTCTTTGCAAAGGTTTGTCTAGAAGACTACGCTTTTCAAAGAAACTTTTTGCTAATGATTTTGCTTTTGTCTGCTCTCAAGGGTAACACTGTGGAATGGGACGTGTAGTAATACATTAGGAACAGCACAGTTTTTGACTGAGACAAACTTGAATTCCAATTTCAGTTCTGCTGTTCACTACCTATGCGCTTAAGGCAACTTACTCATCCTCCCTGACATTGAGTTTTGCTGTGTGTAAAAATGAGAATAAAAACTCGGATCCTTGATTGAGCAGCCAGTCAATAGATCTAACATACTGCCTGGCACGTGGCACAAGGCAGGCATTCAAATCCCTTAATATTAATTGCCCATTTACAAGTCATCATTTTTACAGGAGTAGCAAGTAAAAGGCAAGTTGTTACAATATTTTGACCATTCTTCACTTTCTTCTTGTTTCATAGACGATGACTTTTTTCATGAACTCCCAGAAACGTTCCCATCTGACCCACCTGAGCCTCTGCCACATTTCCTTATTGAGCCTGAAGAAGCATATATCGTGAAGAATAAGCCCGTGAACCTGTATTGCAAAGCCAGCCCTGCCACCCAGATCTACTTCAAGTGCAACAGTGAGTGGGTTCATCAGAAGGACCACATAGTAGATGAGAGAGTAGACGAAACTTCCGGTAAGTTTTCGCTTTGCATTTGGATTGCAGTTCCAAATTCACTTACGGACTCCTTTGGCCCATGTCATACTATTGTTTCAATCAGTGAAGTTGAAAATGGAGTTACTATCCTTTGGCAAAGAGTTTTGACTTGGTTTGGTTAAGATGTGGTGATCTTGTTCCATGCATTGCAAAGTAAAGTAGGATGAGTAAATCTCGACTTGGTTCCTGTTGGACTATGTGAAATTCAAACTTGGTTCATGTTTAAGAAGACAGATAGGCCCGGCGAGGTGGCTCACACCTGTAATCCTGGCACTCTGGTAGGCCGAGGCAGGAGGATCGCTCAAGGTCAGGAGTTCGAAACCAGCCTGAGCAAGAGTGAGACCCTGTCTCTACTAAAAATAGAAAGAAATTAATTGGCCAACTAAAAATATATAGAAAAAATTAGTCAGGCATGGTGGCGTATGCCTCTGTAGTCCCAGCTACTCGGGAGGAGGCTGAGGCAGGAGGATCACCTGAGCCCAGGAGTTTGAGGTTGCTTTGAGGTAGGCTGATGCCACAGGACTCTAGCCTGGGCAACAGAGTGAGACTCTGTCTCAAAAAAAAAAGAAAAAAGAAGACAAATAATGTGAATGAGCAGACTGAAATAATGGTAAATGCTCTACTGAAGATGTCTTTGAACTGTACTTGTGGCATAGTCAGATCTAAATATCCTGAGATCTGGGGAGCATGTTCAACTAGGATAAATTGAACTTGAGTACCTCACTATCTAATGTTAATTCAGGTGTGTAGTTTTCCCTTATATGTTTTTAAAGGATTTTATAAATGTTGTAGATTCAAATTATCTTGTATCCCTAACTTATATCCAGAAATGAATTCTAACTTTCTAACTCTTAACTAAAGGTGAATTGAGGTGATTGAGAACAATGATCGTGTAGGATCCAGGAATAGGAGAAAAATGGTTAGTGTAGCCACTTCCTGGGTGGATCTTGGTCAGACTATCTTTGCCCCTGGCATTTAAACTCCTGACTTTATTGTTCTGTAATTATCACCCTTAAAGATAAAACCCTAGAGGTCAGTAAAGAATAAAGCAGATTCTAAGTAACCTCTGTAGAGTTTAGATTAGGTATAAAGGAAACTTTCTTGATAGCAATTTTTTACTCTATAGTGGATAACTCAGGATAGTTGTAGAATCTTCTAGAGTTCTTTTGAATTGGAAACATAGATACCTTTCTATGGTGGTTTAAATGTGTTTGCTCTCCAGCAGAGAGAATAATTCTTTGAACTTTCAGATGCCCTCTAGATCTATGATTTTGTAATATTGACATATATCTTAAGTATTAAGGCTTCTTTGTTAAAAACATGTCCAAGCTAACGTGTGACTAATATGACAAAAATTGAAGCATTTCAACACTTTCGTTATTCTTCATAGATATTACTCTTTAACCAAATGGATACACATTTTCAAAAATGATATTGTAAGTAATATATATTTATGCCCGAGTGTTGGATTAACCAGGGGCAGGTAGAGACTAGCACGTGGGAGCAATCTACTTTCAATGTCCCTAACAACATCAAGAGCACATTGAGATGATGGGACATAAAGAAAAAGAATAGGCTATGAAAGGACTGAGAAAAGGCAACTTTTGTAAAAGCATGCGGGGACACATACTTTATAACATAAATGGTCTTAGAAAATCAGGTGGTGACTCTACATAATTGCTTCTTTTGCGAATCAATGTGCTCACTGAATTCAAGCTGATACCTGCAGAAATAATGGGGTCTCCAGTTGTGGGGGTAGCTTACTTAGTGAGAGAATTGTCTCACATCTTGGTCTAATTACTCAGAAAATAACTCCACCAGATGTCTTCAAAATCTCCAGCGAATTGAGTTTTATTTGTTTCAGCTCATTTATTTGTACAGATTTCAAACCCATAAGCTTTTAATGATAAGAGGGAGAAGAAAGAAATCACAAAAGCTAAAATGAAAGTTAAGACACATGCCTTTCCCAATCTAATGAAAGTTCCTATATGGGAAGATTATGAATGAAAAAAAAAAAAAAACTGTTCTGAGATTGAGCTATTCTACTAACTTTATGCTATACTTTGTTAGTAACCCACACACACACACACACACACACACACTGCTTTCTACAAAACATTTATTTTCTACATTTCTACACAAAATTAATTAATATCATTATACATACACTGATGAGTACCTTTTAATGTAACTATAAAATATATGGCATGTTTTCACTGAGATTCAAGAGGGATACATGAGAACTAAGGAAGATTTGGGAGAGCCAATACTAGCACAGTACCCCTAAGATTCAGGAATGGAGTGAAATGCAATACAGCCTTTTGTTGGCCTTTATTTTCATCGTGAACTTTACAAGAAAGGCAGCACCCAGCCAAACGTTGACATACCAGAACCAGGTGAATATTACCTTTAAATGTAGGAAAAAGACAAAGATGCCCACAGATACCAGTATTAATTAGTATTGTTCTAACCTACCTAGCCAGTGCTATTAGACAAGGCAAATAATGAAGAGGTATAAAAATTATAAAGAATGTGGAAAAAATCATTTATGACAAATGGCATTATTTTGCATATCTAGAAAACTTATGCAATTTCAGAGGGAAAAAAATTTGCAAAAACAAAAAGAGAATACACAAAATAGCTGCTAAAAAATTTGTATAATCCATTATCTTTTCTATGTACAGAGAGCCAATTCAAATTATAGTGCAGTAAAAGATATCCCTTAGATAGCAATGTAAGAGAAAGTATATAGGTAGGAAGTTAATAAGAAATTTGCAGAATATTAGAAAGGAAAACTTTAAATTCTACTCAGACATAAAAAGATACCATAACTTGAATAAATGGAAAGACATTTTATTCTGGAGTAGAAAAGCTGAATATTTTTATATGCCTGATATTTATAAATGAACCTGTAATGTCACCAACATTTTATGAAAAATAATTTGTGAAAATAGCTGGGAGAATTCTGAAATAGTGGGAGAGTGAAGAAGGAACCCCAGCTCTTTAAAACTGTAATATAAAGCTAAGGAAGTTAAAAGAGTTTGATCTTAGCAAACGATAAGACACACAAATTAATGGGTTAAAATGGAGGCCAGGAAATACTCAAAGACCTAAGACTTCTTGGAATATGATAAAAGAGTAGTTTTTCAACCAATGAGGAAAAGAGTTTATTGGGTACATGGGTTAGATGACAAGGTGGGCAGTTGGAAAATAGAAAAATAAAGTAAGCTCGGATTCTGTCTCATTCTGTAGAATAAAATAAATTCTAGCTGTTAGGGCTTAAGGTCACCATGATCACTAGGAGAAAATTTTGGCATTTGATTGCTTTGTTAGTTGGTTGGTTGGTTTCAGTGGTGTGCAAAGCCTTTTTATTTTTATTTTTTATTTATTTATTTATTTTTTTTGAGACAGAGTCTCGCTTTGTTGTCCAGGCTAGAGTGAGTGCCGTGGCGTCAGGCTAGCTCACAGCAACCTCAAACTCCTGGGCTTGAGTGATCTTTCTGCCTCAGCCTCCCGAGTAGCTGGGACTACAGGCATGCGCCACCATGCCCGATTTTTATTATGTTTTATATATTATTATATTATATATTATTTTTTTATTTTTATATCTTTATTATATAAATGAACCTGTAATGTCACCAACATTTTATGAAAAATAATTGTGAAATAGCTGGGAGAATTCTGAAATAGTGGGAGAGTGAAGAAGGAACCCCAGCTCTTTAAAACTGTAATATAAAGCTAAGGAAGTTAAAAGAGTTTGATCTTAGCAAA